ATTTGTATATGTATATGTATATGTGTATGTATGTATGTATGTATGTATGTATGTATGTATGTATGTATGTATGTATGTATGTATGTATGTATGTACGCATGTACGTGCGTATGTACACTCTGTGAAGAATATACGCTCACACACCATCATGTCAAAACCAAGGCTAGCAGTAGATGTGTACGTCCATGCATGTACACACGCACACACACACACACACCTCGGATGAAACTATGTCCATATGTACCCACAGATCTTTAAACGCTCAGATGCATAAATATTTCGGAGTGGAGATACCTTGTAACCTACGTGTATAGAAGCAGCCATCACCGTCATATACATGATGGGGAGAGATGGCTTCACACATTGCTGAGGAGTACTCAGCACGGGGAGGCCTCGAGGCTTCAGCCCGCGTCTCCAGCGACGGACTCGTTTTTGGGGGCTTCATCATTAGAATATAAGGCCGTGGGGTGCATTTTTGTAACGCTATGTAACCACAGGAGCCCTCAGGAATAAGACTTGTAATTTTTTCCAGCTATTAAAAGAAACTTACCAGCATAATGGACCTGGAAGCTCAAAAGAGGGCTTTGGGCTTAGAGCATCCTGAGCTTAATCTGGCCGATCTGGCCGACATCCGCTAAGATATTGCGATATCACTATCACAGGTTGGTGATCTGGCGCTACCAGTGCACTGTTCATCTGAACCAGCCAACCACCACACGTCAGTAACGTTACAGCGCCATGCCGCCGGGGACTTGTTTCAACACAAGGGGCGCAGCATCCGACGCGTGAGACTCTCCCATCCGGCTGTCGGCGTCTCTTTGCCGCTGAGGCTGTGGGGGATGTACATGTGTGAATGTACGTACGTATTTAGAGATCATGTAAGGGAGCCGGCAAGCCCTGAATCAGAAGATGCACCGCGATAGCTCCCAAGGTTAGAGATCTAAAGCCTTATGAGTTCTTGCAGAAGATAAGCCTCGCTACTCTTCCTCGTTGACGCCTGTGTAGCTACACCTAGAGCAGTTTCAACCTAGGTGAATGCATTACTTTCCTTGCAGGGCTTCTGTTCTCTGAAACTCCCAATGCAGCATATTGTCTTCATACCCTGCAGCCACAAGCTTCTGAAGACCACCTTCGCTCGCGTCCGTCTTTCATGTAGGGGCTGCCATTTTAGGATACTCGGGTGTCGGACCTGGAAGCGGGAACTGTAGGGTTCAGGGTTAAGCCTGGACCCCACACCGCGCATTCTAAAGAGTCGCCACATGCGGGGAAGTTTCGGCAAGGCTTTGTGCCGAGAGCTCACCAGGGACTTGTGATTCAAATGGCCAATGGTCTACTGGGAGTTTGATGACCAGGTGACTGCATGTTCCTTCAGTCCTTCAGACTTTCGAGTAGAAGGGCTGGCGACAACGCCGAATCTACTGCAGGTCCTGCAGGTACGCTAAGCTATCTCCATGCGCGGGAGGCCATCTTCTGCCCGTCGGAGACCTCTTCGCGCGATGCGGCAGTTTCGAGTTTTGGGTCCAACGACTGGCCTAGCGAGATCATGGGCACCTCTTTACCCATGGAAATCTGCCAACCCTTACTACTAAACTAAACTTGCAACTAAGACCCCATGTTGATGTCGTGCGATGACTGCTGCTTGCATTTCCGGAAGATGTCAACCTGAGGTTGCAGCGCTTCGTTTGCAAGGACCTCGGCTTCGCTCGGCGCGTGTGGGAGACCCGTCGAAAGAATCGGCGCGTGAGCAGCTCGCTACTTCTGGGATCTTTTTTGCGTGTTGCAAAGATGGGACCGTGCCCGGAAGTAAGAGATTGTGAGTGACGACCTGCACTCGTCAACCGATGCACAAGTCCTGAAATTCAAAGCCCCAAAGCACAACAAGCTTTGCTCTCTTGTAGAGCCCGAAACCCCCAAACCTTGATCTATGCCAGCTTCCTCACCCAGAGCCTCGAAACAACACAGAAAAAAACCTGAGGACCACGCTGGCGGTCCGCCGCGGCTGATGTTCCCCCTGATTTTGTCCGGTGGGGGTGTAAACACCACGGGGTCACCGCGCTGCAATGTGTCCCTCGACCTACTTGGAGGATCCGGTGACTGAGCGATTCTCTTGTGGTTGTGTCCGAGGTTCTTATTCTTCATACTATAGCAACACTAATTTGGGTTTAACCTGTTTTGTTGCTGAGCCTCGAGGCCCGTGCGCCTGGGAGGGACGAAAGGAGTATTGGACCTAGCGACCTAGTGGCGAAGTGTTTGATCGCTCTTCTTGAGAAGTCCTGTCGTCGTTCAAAAATCACAACTGGCAGCTGGCGGTGCATTCAGAAATCCAGCACAACGCTGGCACCGGACAGAACAAAAGCGAAGATGTTCACCGAATCTAGCTGAAATGATCAAATCACACCCTAAACCCTAAACCCTGAACCCTAAACCCTAAACCACCGAAACCCTGCAAATGCGGCCCGACACCCCGAAATAGGCGAGCTGAGAAGCTGCGGAGCTCCCCAGCAGGCGCCCCAAATCTCTGAAGGCTACATTGTCGGTCCCTTGTAAGGCCCTGGAGTGAGAATCCGGGCCCTGAACCCTAGATCCCCCTTAATTCCCAACTGCCCATGCAGTTGTGGATATACAAGAGGCCCCACATTCAGCGAGTGGGACATGGGAGTTTCACAAAAGATCAGGAGCCCCATGTCCAAACATCTTGAGCTCCCCAAAACTCGAGACAAAGCTAAAAAAAAGGCCCAAACATACTCTAACCTGGAAGCGCTTAACCCGGAAACCCTGAAACCTTAAATCCCTAAAAGCCCTAAACCCTAAAACCCCTTCAGCCCGAATTCAACCCTGATTCAAGCACAGAAGGCCCCGCATGGACATTTCGGGCCCCGACCTTCGCCGAGGTCGGTGAAGGGTAGTAGAACTCGCCCTGAGCTCAGTTGGGAACATCCAGCGGTTCTGCAATGAGCGTTTAGAAGGTTTAGGGCCTTCTGGATTTTTTCAGGCTGTTTGTTACAGGGCTTACTAAGAATCGTCTTGGCTCCTTCAAGGATCGTGTCGGGAGGGTTTGGGTCCACGGTTTGCGCACTCATGGGAGTTCGTGTGGCTCGTCATGTGTTGCGTGCTGCAAAATGGATGTTTGCTGGTTTCTTTTCGGAGCCTTACCGTCTCCATGTCCTCATGCCAAATGTAGAGGTCTGAATAGCTGCATGAACATGCCCAGATGGTCCCTATAGCATATAGTTGTAGAGCTATACCATTATCCACCCCACTGCACCATTCTGATTGTCAAGGCCCCTGCCGTCAGCCCCTCGCACAAATCTTCATGACCTCTCGACAGATGCCCCTAAAGCGAGCAGGCAGCAAAGGCCTTGCGAACTGCTTCCCGCAGGTTTGACTCGTTGGGGAGCAGTCCGTGGCCTTGCAGAGGAGTTCATGGAATCATGCTTCAGCACTTCAGGTTGAGTGTTCAGACTTGCTTCATGTGGATTCCAACTGTCGCTTCAGTGCATTTGCTTTGGAGAGCTCTTTATCTTTCCCCTAAACCCTAAACCCTAAACCCTAAACCCTAAACCCTAAACCCTAAACCCTAAACCCTAAACCGTGCACTGTAATGGGGACTTGCAAGGGCTCCCGCCAGGTAGCGCAATCTCGGTGTGATGCCAGGGATCTGTGAAGACAAGCTGTCGTCATCGAGCGGTACAACACCAAGCCACCTAATATAGGGGCCTTTATTATTAGAATAGGGTTTTGGGGGTTCCTTATTATAATTAAAGAACTATAGTATAATATACCCCAAAACCCTATGTCAATTGTTAAGGCCTCTACATTATACTTCTCTCCGAGACCGCATGGTCCGTTCCGAAACCCCCTGCAACAGCCTGTGCAACAAGGACCCGGCATCCACCGAAACCCTGAACCCCTTAAGCACAGTACCAGTAGTCGTCGTAGTCGTCGTCGTCGTAGTAGTAGTAGCAGTAGTAGCAGTAGTAGCTGCAGCAGCAGCAGTAGCAGTAGCAGAAGGAGGAGGAGCAGCTGGAGCAGCCACGGCAGCGGCAGCTTGTTGAACACTCATGGGCCCGCAAACTTCCACAACTGACAACTAGCATGCAATCTGGCGGCGAGTTAACCCTGAAACATCAGACAGAAACAACATGGCTGATCCGAGGCTTCTGCGTTGCGAGAAGCACAGTATGGAAATTCTCCAAAAGCTTGAAAGCTTGCGGTGGTGGCTGTGTCGAGTGCAAAGAAGAGCGAAAGTTCAGTGGAAACGCAAAAGTTAACACTGTGTAAAACGAAACAACCGGAACAGAAAGCAACGCGCAAAAGCCAGGCAAAAGTGATCCGAATAACATTGATTCGTCGATGGCCCTGGTAGGAAGTCGACGCGACGTCCCTTCCAAAGGCAGTTAGTCCTTCACTGTGTGCACCACTTCAATGGCACCGGATCCAGGCAATTTTGTGATGCAAGCAAGCGCGCACACGCACAGTGCCGGGCGCTTACTGAAGCAAATTTGGCACTGCATTGCTGGATCCCTATCTCACGAAGACCGCTGAGTGCTGGTGGGGCTGAGTTTGAAGTGTTGGCAATAACTCCATGGTTGCAGCCGCTAGAGGCCACCGTACACACGCCTGGAACCCTAAACCCAAAGCTCTGCCATGTAGGAACCCGTACAGGAACCCCTACAAAAAAACCCTGTGGCCCTCTCTGGGCTACCCGGCCCATCGTCGCTCCGAGGGGCGGCTGCACCACTAAACCACGCCCGCCAATCAACACCACTTTCTGCCTCAAAGGGCTCCGCATATGGGGAACCCTATAAGTTCGAAGAGACTTCCTTCCAAGGGATCCCTGTAGGGCTTCATGAGGAGCTTTGACAACGAGGAGCTGCTTTTTGCTCTATAAAGACAGGACGATGAGGGGATACTCTCAGTCAGTCGTCAGGCCCTGCCAATGACGGTTGGGCGGAATGTGGGCGTTCAGCTGCCGGATCTTCGGATCTCCGGATTTTCGGCATTGGATTCCAACATCGTCACTGGAAAATGCACACCCCTGATTAGTAAACGCCCTTGCCTTTCCTTACGGACCTCAGTGTTAGGATCCCCGTCCACTTTAACCCAGGGTTTTAATTAATCAGGTGTCTACATGAAACTTCCCCCTAAACCCTAAACCCTGTTGTTTTTTTGTTCAGGAACGGCAGGTCAAGGTGAGCTCCTGCTACTGTGATGCAGTCTTTTAGGGCTCTGCCGGGACTCTTGGAGTCGACGGCTTCGGGCCGGGACTCCGGTTTAGGGTTTCGGGTTTCGGG